TGCTTTACGGGGCGTAGACGCGGAGGAGCGAAATGACTTCGACTTGACACACGGGGCAGTTCTTGGAGTGGATCGCATGCGCCTGGTAGCGCTCGCCATCCTCTTGGCAAAAGCAGAGGTGGCCGCAGGGATACACGGCCATGTTCGCCGTCTTGTCGCGGCAAATGACGCACTCGGGGCCGTGGTTGGTGTTGCCCATGGCCGCGACCGTCTCGGCCGTGTCCGCCTGCACACTATATTGAGCAAGCGAAGAAGAAGAGCTGAAGGCAAGACGTACCTTGAGCGACTGGACGTTGCGGTCAATCTCGCAAATGAGTGTCTTGGTCGTTTGCTCGAGCACCTTTTGCTGCGCTTCGGCCTGCGCGATCTTGGCCTTGACTTGCACGCAGAGTTGCTCGTACTGCAGCCGGACACCCGCCTCTTGTTCGGCCCGGAGCGCCTCGTGCGCGACCTTGGCTTCGACTTCGGCGAGCTTTTGACGCAGCGCCGTCACCTTGGCTTGGCTCACCTCGGCCGCGGTTTGCGCTAGATATTCGAGTTGGTGGAGCGCGATCATGGCGCCATCAAGACGATACCTTTGTCGACCTTTTCTTCGTACTCGAGCGTCTGCGCCTTCCACGTCCGGCGCAGCTGGAGCTCGGCGCGGAGACGGCGGTCGGCTTCGTTCTTCACTTGCGTCACACGCTTCTGGGCGTTGGCAAGCTCTTTTGTCAGCGTCGAGACGGTCGTCGCAAGCTCCTGGCGGCTCGGGGCCGTCGACGCGGGTTTTGGCGGGCGCGGTGTCGGTGCTTTTGGTGGCGTGACGTTGTTGGTACTGCTACTGCCGCCCTTACTACTGCTGCTGCTGGGCTCTGGCTTGACCGTCTTGTTCTTGACGCCCCAGTGCAGCGACGTGTGGCTTTGGCACACCCAGCACGTGAGTCCAATGGACGGTTTCCCGCGCTCGAGCGCGCGTTCGAGCTTCTTGACCGGGTCGACCGTGAAGAAGCCGTCGCGGTCGTCTTCGCAGTTGGATGTGACCGCCACCACGGGTTCTTGGATCGACTGGGCGGTCATCGGCACGTAAATGGCGGCGGGAATCCCATACTTTTGAACCAATCCCGGGGCAATCGTCGACCCAATCATGTGCAGCGACATGGACACGGCCGGGTTGCAGTAGTAGACAGTGCCGTCGGCCAGCGCCAAGACGTGGTTGCCATTCTACCATAAGCGCCATATAGAAACAACCCAAAGCTTGGAGACGGACCTCGGTCGCGTAAATATGGTCGACGATGCCCGCGCCGCGGGACCGCCCGGTGGACAGATCCACGTTGAGCACAAACTCTTGCCGCGGCGCCGATGGCTCTACCCATCGCCATCGCTACGTCCGTGTATATGGATGGAATGGGACCATACCGAGGAGCGAGTGGCGGTAAAAGCCACCGACGTTGGTGTAGCCGTACGCGTACTGGCCCTTGATGTACGTAATGTCCTATCCGTCAAAGATGCAGTCAAGATATGGAGTGGAGATACGGGCACCTTGGTGTTGGGGACCACGACTTGGCTCGTCTCCCCGCCCTCGATGAGCGCCGAGTCGGTCGTGAACGTGAAGATGCGAAGGTTGCTGTCGAGGCCGACGCCCGCGAACGAGAGGCCAGCCGACGACGCTGAGAAGAAGGCCGCGTGCATGGCCGTGTTGCTACATATGTGCTCTGTATACGAGAGGACTGGCCATGGCAAGACGAGCGAGTACCTCGCAGAGTTGAACTGGCGAAGGTACGTCCACATGGGCCGGCTGTTCTCAGCTTGCTCAAACTTCCAGAGCCGGAAATTTTGCACGCCGAGGCCAAAGAGCAAAAAGTAGGATTTCTTCTGCGGGTCCGTGGCCGTGTTGTCGGACGCATCCGCAAAGCCCTACTATGGACGTGAGTTCACTACGCACCACAGTTGCACGCACCCGCAACTTGGCGTCGCTGAAGAAGAATTTGAGCAAATTGGTCTCGTCTTCGCTGCCTATCAAACACGGTTTTATCAGTATCAAGTTGATAGAATATGCGTGTCCGTACTCTTGTGGTGCCGGAAGCGATCCAAGTGGATGGCCATGACGGTCTTGGGCGACGTGCCGCGACAGCCCACGAAGCAGTAGGACCCGTCCGGCGTCACCTTGAGCCGAACCGTCGCCGGCGTCATTTGCTGGTTGAGCTCTTCGTCGAGATGCCCGAGGAGATAGCCATACCTACGACGCTCCATGCACCTCTGCGATGCACCGCAAGACGTACCGCTCTTCGGTGCACGAGCTGTTGATGTCAAAGAGGCGCACAGAGCCGTTGGAGAAGGCAATGATGATGCACTGGCCATCCGGCGTCACGTCGATCGAGGTCGCTGGGTCTTCAGTCGAGAAACACATGCTCTTGAAGCTCGACGAGAGCGTAGAGAGCGCCTTCTTGGGCTTCTTGGCCGGCGGCGACGAGACGCGCTCGAGAACAGTTGTTTGCGGCGCAGCGGACGGTGCAGGCGACGGCAGCGCGGCAGTGGCAATCGGTGGTTCCACCCGAAGCAGCGTCACTAGCGTACATTCGATGGAGACGAATCGCGTGGCTGTGCGTACCTTCGGACGACCGAACGGCGGGTGACGCAAGTGGCGTCACCGCTGTCGATGATGCTCGGTTGTGGAGGAGAATGGGGGGGCGGGGACGAATCGGGGACTGGGCGACCGCAGGCGACGGCAGCCGCGCAAGCACGCTCACTGCTTCGTCGTGTGGGCCAAGTGCATGGAGGCGAGAGAGATGAGGCTTACCGGGGCGGATCGCAGGCTTGTTCTACCAAGATACGATATGAGCCAATGCGCGTCGACAAGCGGTCGTACCGCGGTCGGCGTCGAGGCGGCGTCAACGTAGCCTTCCAGAGGCGAGGCGCGGTCGACTGCTGTGTGAGCTGCTGGCGTCGGCGTGCGACCGCCGGGTGGCAGAATCGGCACGTCGTCGTCGTCGGCGTCGTCGTCCTCTATCACGCGCTGTCGCTTCTTCTCGTGCTGGATCCGGGCCATGTCCAGGATCGTCTGGGCGCGCTTCGCCTTCGGGATGCGGTTGCCGAGGAGTTGCATGTTGTTGTGGATCATCTTCTCCATCTTCTTCTCCATACTTGGTCGCGCGATCACGGACTCGCGCTACTGGCGGCGGCCACCTCAGTATCGAATTGTGAGCCCGCCAAGACATTCGCCGCTCATTGGTTGTATTCCGCACCCGACGCATCCCATCGATTGGTCAAAATACGATACAGAACGCAACGATTGGTCCATTATTTAGAAAATACGCGGCGTCCATTGGCCAGTATTGTTGAAATGAGCATGGCGGCCTCGCCAGCGCCACAAAGTACACGCAGCCGCTCAAGCGTGCATGATGCAAGCGAGTTGCCGTTCGTAGATGCATCTGATTGTCATCTTAGTCGTTGTTGCTCAGCGGCTCGGGCGTCGCTGCCTGCTGCATCGTCGTCGTGCGCCGCGACCGCATGACGTTCCACGTTCGCTCTTCGATCTTTTGGAAGCCGCCGGTCCGGACGCGGAGGTCGGGGCAAGGCTTGGGCATGATCACCTTGCGGGGCTCGCTGCAATTTGTAGTCGCATTGTTGTTGTCGTCGTCCTCGTCTTGTGCGGTCGCATGCGCCGTGGTCTTCCTCGAGGCCATGCCGAAGGAACTGGTCGTTTCTGGTTGCACTGGAGCGGTAATAACTGACGTCCGCTTCAACCTCAGAGTTGGCTTGCCGTGACCAGATCCAGATGCAGTAGCCAAGCCGCAGCAAATGATGGTTCTTCGTGAAGGCTGCGAGCATGCATTGGTGGAGAAGAAGACGACGATCGTTTAAGATAAATAAGCTTGTAGGATTTGGCTTGGGTTACGCAGCCAGCCACGCGGACACATGAACGGATCTAGACTCTAAGCAAAAAGCGACGATGTACACATCTAGGCAGTCGCCCGCTGCTTCTTCCGGGGCGACGCCTCTTTGTCGTCGTCGTCGTCGCGCCGGCGCTTCTTTTCGACGCGCCCGGGGCTGTCGATGGACGTCGGGCTCGCACTCCGAGGCTTGCAGTCGTCGGCCACGACGCTGTCGTCCTTGGCCTCGTACGCGAGGCTTGCAAGCTCGGGCTCGACGTCGGCAGGCGCGTACAGCGTCATCATGCGCGCGACGCAGTCCTTGAAAGCATCGGCATCGACGCCGAGCGTGTCGAGCGCATAGGCGGCGAGGGGGCTCGCGCAGCCAAATTGGGTGGCGCACACGACTTCAAGGGCGGCGGCAGCGACAACTGAGCTCGGGAACACTTGGTACTCGTAGTCGATCGCGCACTCTTCGAGGAGCTCCATGGCCGCCTCTTCCAGATGCACTTGAATGGACGGCACCGACTCGAAGGTGAGGAGGTCCCGAAGAAACGCAACCGGCGTCGCGGGGTTGAGGCGCCACTGGAGCACGTGGAGGAGCTGCTTCTCCATGAGAATGATTTCGCTGCGCGGGTACTTGTGCTGGCAAAGGAGCTCCATCTCTTCCATTAGGATCGGGCGCGGCTCGTGCATCTTGGACGCGACGTACATGGCGACCATGGACACGAGTTGCAGCACGATCTTGTCGACCGAGAGCGCCGCCAAGTAGACATCCATAAAGTGAATCGCACATTCGACCGTGTCGGCGCTGAGCTCGAACGCCTTGCCCGTGTGCAGCATCCATTCGGCCATGCGCTTTCGCCACGACGCCACCATGCCTTGCGTCTGCACCGTCGCGAGGTACCCGCTCGGGCGCGGGCTGTCCTCCTTGGCGAGCAGCAGCCGCAGGTGGCGGCGCACGGCGTCCGGCTCGAGCATCTCCGTGGGCGTGACCGCATGGAGTTCCTCGACACAGCTGAGATCCGTCATCATGCTGTTGCGTGCTTCTTGCGAAATGAGTGGGGCATCATGGGTGACCTTGCTACACGGCGTATACCTTTGACACTTGATAGCTCGTCACGAGTGTTTACCTCGCAAATTGCGCTCGCGCGCGTGGAGAAAGCACTTGGACTTTGTATAGGCTGCCTGTCTAGCGCCTCCAGGTGCCGTTTGTTTGTCGATAGGCTACCCACATACAAATAGCAAGGTACGTTTGGCGCCGCTTTGCCACGTGCCAAATGCCGCATATGCGCATTTACATACTGTTGCCGCGCATCCGAGATATTAAATTTGTATTGAAATATCGTCCTGTTTGTATGGAAAATGGCAGCGTTGCATTGTATGAGGCGGTTCTTTTTTATGTCGGCGCTGGCACGAAGCGTTTGGATTGGCCATTGCCCGAGATCCGTGCATCATCATTTGTATTGGCGCAAAGGTCCCTTGCATACAAACACCAAGTTGGGAAAGCCAAAACGCGGGGTTTTCACGTCCACCTGGTATGGCCGACGCCGGTGCTTGGCGCGAACGTTGCCGCCAAAACCAGCTCGATGGGCGCTGGACATGCAGCGCACCTATCGCAGTCGGATGTAAAATATTGCACAAAATTGCGACAAATAGACGGCGAACGACACGCCTCGACGAGGCAAGAATGAGGGAAGAGACGCTCGAGTTAGTACTTCACACGCGCCTGCAAACATGGCGGACGACATGTATATGTACTGATGGGCACGGCTTCAAGTGGCAATCTTTAAAAGCCAGTTGAGAAGAATCCATCCTCTAAAGGGCCTTGGCAAGCTGCACCGGCACCCCCTCGTGGAACGAGCTCTCTGCCGCCAACTTGCCACGTGGATGCAACCGCGCGTCAGTTCATCCTTTGCCATGTCCAGAACGCCCAACTCAGAGCCCGCCAACGCAGTAACACGGGCAGAAAGTCCGTACGCCCGGAATACCATGTACTACTTGGACGGCATGCTTGTGGCCAAAGTAGCGAGTCGGCAGCAAGCCGTTTCAGTTTCAGGGTCAAAGGCTGCACGCACCTTGCCACCTCCATGCGATCGTCATGAAGCAAGATGGCGCACGGCGAAGATCATGCGAAGTAGGCTACCCTGAACATTGCGAGCGGATGTGATCGCCGGCATCTCGTCCAGCGCGAGCAAGTGCCGGCAAGTGCGGCAACCCGAGGCAAGTGGGCCATGCCAGCAGCTGGCCACGTCAATGTCGTGCTCAGAAATGCACCGTAGGCGTCGACGCCATCCCTAGTCAACTTACGACCACGCGATGGCTATATAGAGCGAGCGACCAGGCCAGGTGCAGGCGACGATGCTGCCCGTGTCGCCAATACGCCATGGTATTACTTGCATCATCGAAACCATCCTGTTGCTTACTCGGGTGGGCACACGGTGCAGGGGCACGGAGCAGGGTACAGACACGCGCGCCTTCTATTTTCAGTCAACACCACGCGCGGCGACGTCGATGCTTGTACCGATGACGCGCTCTGTCGTGTTTGGAGGACTCGATCCAGCAAAAGCGCAGTCCAAGGAGCTCGCGAAGATACGTATACTGTACTTTTGTATGCCATACAAATTCTATGTGATGGGTTTCATGAACACTAAAACCGGTGTCGCCTTCCGACATCAAATAGTGTGTATAACCAATCAAACGAAAGATGGCGGTTGGTTGGTGGTTGGGTGGGCGCTGTGGCGTTGGAGATCCGAAGACCAAAGCAAAATCGATATTGAGATGAGCGACACGGAAGAGGCCAAGGGCGTGACGTACGAGGAGCGCGTCAAGCACGTTAGCATCATCGCCAACCCGCTCGCCAACAAGAAGCTCACCAAGAAGGTGTACAAGCTCATCAAGAAGTCGACCAAGGTCAAGTGCACCAAGCGTGGCGTCAAGGAGGTCGTCAAGGCCATTCGCAAGGGCGAGAAGGGCATGTGCATCATCGCCGGCGACATCTCGCCCATCGACGTCATCTCGCACATCCCCGTGCTCTGCGAAAACAACGATATCGCGTACGTCTTTACGCCGTCCAAGGTCGACCTCGGCGCGTCTGCGGCCTCGAAGCGCCCCACGAGCTGCATCATGGTCACGCCGGGCAAGCAGGGCTTCAACGTCCAGGAAAGCTACGACGAAATCCTCGCCGAAGTCAAGAAGATCCAGCCCACCTACTAGTTTGTTCAATAGCTACCTTCGTTGCCACCTCGACCGACTGCGGCAGCTTACTTATTAAGTCACAGAATTCCATGTTAAATATCCCATTTTGTGGCAAATTACAAGGTGGAAATGTTGGAGTAGAGCACGGACGAGTCGTTGCTGGACGCCACTTGGTGGACGCGCAACGCCGCCTCGATCTCGTCTTCCGTGAGGCCGTCTTTTTGCATTTGGTTGACGGTCTGAAGGATCGAACCGAGGTTGGCGCCACCCGACCGGAGGTTGCTCCGGCCAAAGCTCGTCGAGCCCATCCCAAACGACGACGACGTGGCGCGCGATTGAATCGAGGTTCGAGAGCCACGGTGCGACGCGGGCTGTGGCTGGAGCGGCCGCGCAATCTCGTTGTTGATGTCGTCCTCGTCCTCGTCGTCATCTTCGTCGTCGTCGTCTTCGTCGTACTCGGAGCCGTAGTACTCGGAGCCGTACTCGCTATAGAGGCTGTAGAGCTCGCTGTGGTTCTCATCGTGGTTCATGCTCTCGACAATGGACATGGTGACACGCTCGCCGCCCACAATCTTGTGCCACGGCGCGCCATGGCCGCAGCCCGAGCACAAAATCGACTCCTTGTCGACATACGACGGGACGTACGAGACGCAGTCGCACTTGTGGTCCGTGTCGCGGCCAAAGAGACACCCTTTCCGCGCCCCAGTCTTGCTCTTGCTGCGGGCCATCTCTTCCCAGAGCAGCGCCCGCGCCGGTACGGGCTTGGAGGGCACGAGGCCGACGGCGCGCTTGGCCGAGTACTCGCGCGCGATATCTTCAAGGATGAGCTGCGCTTCGTTCAAGCTCATCGCACTCTCGTCGCTGATCGAACTGCCCACGGATGCAGCCGCCATCTTCGGAAATGTACGCCTGCGGGTGTGTAGCATCCGGATACATAGACACGCTCGTCCGGATATCAAGCATATCAAGCGCCAAGGCTGCAACTCACACTCGAGTCGCCAGCAGAGGCAACAATCCTCACATCGGCAGTCGTATCTACCCTAGCAGATGCAAGCTCTGTGGCGCACGAAGGGGCAGCGATATGCTATTAGCTCTCGCCCAAGCGTCTGCTCTACTGCGACTCGCCAAAGCGATCATGTTGACCGACGCTCTCTGGGCCTATCGTTCGATTCACTGGCGCGCGATCCTGATTGTGGTGTGGAGAAGGGCGACAGCAATGCATTACATTGGGCCCAACGAAGTCGTGGCACGACACTACTTCAAAGTACACGCCATGCAGCGCGGTAGGACTCGTATCGTTGATCGCTTGCCGATGAATGTTGCTGCACGGGAGCCAAGTTGGAAGCCAAATACCTGCCAAAAATGGATCTAGTTGGACCAACATCGCGCGATGTCCCTGGTTTCGCCAAATCAGTTCTTATTCCCTTGTCGTTGTCTGGCTAGCCGTCGGCTGAACCCTCCCAACCTTGACACAAATTTGCACGTGGAGCGTCCGCCATGCTTCCACTGCGTAGCGAAGTGTACTGTACGAACGCGACGCCAGCGACTTGGGGTGCGAGAGGCTGGCGGGAGGGGCTTTGGCACGCGGAAGAGCGACTGAATTTTAGCTGGGAGGTTGATTATAATGCAATTACATACATTGATGTAGATAGAATTGAACCGTGCTTTAAAAAAGATTATGTACCGGATGCTATCCGGACTGCAGGCCAATCGCAAGTGCTGGGTTGTGGAAATCTTGCCGTCGACCCCAGAGATAATGGAGCTCAAGACGCGTGTGCTCGACATCCTCTGTACGTGGCGTGGCATGCAAGGCCGGGAGTGTTCATGCAGCATGTGTGTAGGCGTGCTCCTGTCGGCGCTGCTCATGATCTCGGTCTGGTACTGCGCCCTCTCGCCCGACTGGATGGCGCAGTCCGGCGACAATGGCCAGTCCAGCTACTCGCAGGGCATTGGCCTCTGGTCCAACTACACGTTGCAGATTGGTGCCGACGCGTTTGACCCGGGCAACTCGTTCTGGCTGCCGACGCAGCCCAACGCCGTCGACTCGTTCGATGCCCAGTGGTACGTGCACCGATCCTGCTCGGGCAAGAAGATCTCATGGCCGTCATAGCGAATCGTATCGCAAGGTCGACTGTTCCGTTCTGGAAGGCGGCGAGTACGACAAGCAGTATTGCGTCATCCAGTCGATCTACTGCGGCACGCCGCTCTTCATCGTGCAGGTCGTCATGGCCATCGCGGCGGGCCTCTCGGTTCTCGTCTTTGCGTGGGTCATCGCCATGGCCGTGTACCCGCACCGCACGCTCACTGAGAACTACCTTTTGCACATGTCGATCCTCGCCGGTACGCACTCGGATCGCATATGGCGAATTGCCATCTTCTTGTCCGGTAGGCTTTGTGCAAATGGCAGCGATCGGTCTCTGGTACACATACGTCTACCTCAAGGTCCTCAACTCGACGTTCTACTCGGACGAGTACACGCGGTGCACGGCCAACCCAACGAATCGGTCGTGCTGGAGCATTCGGTACGCCGCGTACGCGACGCTGGTCGCCGGTGGCCTCTACCCCGCGCTCGCCATCGCGCTCTCACAGCTCATGAGCTTGAAATCGTCTCGATACCGCGTGCAGCTCAAGCAGCACTGCAAGGAGCTCATGGACGAGATGCCGTTCAGCCCGCGCGGCTCGGAAATTCCTCGCCCATCGGACGCGTCGACCGTGCGCGAGTCGGACATGTCGACCATCACCAACAGCATGCGCTAGCTACGCGCGAGATTGCTTGTGCCGAATCGCCTGCACGAATAATTCCCTTTTGCTCATACAACTAGCATTCAAAGATGGAGTCGAGTCGTCTTGGGACACTGTGCAGGACAGCCCAAGTGATAACCTGTGCATCAAATCCTACAAGCCACTCAGCCACTTAGAGCGTACCCACGACGGCCATGAGCGCTGCAGTGTACGTTCAAGCCTACGATGGGCGCCAGGTATAGGTGTCTCCATCTCGTCTCTCAGTGCTGGTCGCAAGCACGAGTTGCTGCAAAGGTCAAGACGACCGGCATGACCGACCCACTGGGACTTCAATATGGTGGCGATTACCTGTGAGAGTACATATGTTCGTATCGAAAAAAAGAGGTCGCTTCGATCGGGCCCAGTCGGCCACAGCAATTTCGTGGTCGAGAGAAGATGCAAGCGTTGGCCCGTCGCGTGACCCCTCGCCTCGTCCAGGGCGCCCAGCGCCGCCACGGCGGCTCGCTCAACAAGAACAAGCACATCGAGGTCTGGAACGGCGTGCGCGAGAACTGCGACCGCGAGTTCGTCTTCAACGGCGCCAACATGGGCAAGTTTGTGTTTGGCACGCTCGGCCCGTTCACGCTGCTCTACTTCCTCATCAAGGACGAACAGATTGCGCGCGATGAGCTTGAAGGCAAGCCCCACAACCCGCACCGGTACTTGTAATAAGCGTTGGCATCTTGGCTGCCACGCATGGAATCGTATCATCCCCTTTGCAAGTCGACAACATGTTGCTACATAAAAGGAGTATACTAGTCGGGTTTACAATAGCTTGAGCGGTCGCCGCGGCGAGAGAAGCTTGAGCGGCGTCGCCGCCGCCTCGCGCGGGCGCCGCTCGAGAAGGAGCTCGTCCGGGATCTGCGGCACGTAGTCGGGCGCGCGCGTCTCGATCCAGTTGCGCAACGTCCAATAATGCGACTTGTCGGGCAGCGCGATCGCCGCCGAGAGCGCCGCCGTCCAGTCGGCCACCGCCACGAACCGGTTGGTCTCAAAGAGCACGAGCGAGTAGTGCACGGCCTGGTCGTACATGCGCTTCTCGAGAAAGTGCGCAACGAGCGGCCGATAGCAGCTCGTCGTCCGGTCCATGAGGTGCTTCTTCTCATCGAGAAGCTCGAGTGCATCATCGATCGCACCGGTCGCAATGAGGAGCTGGACCTTGAGCTTGTAGAGCATGCCTGCAGCTGGCCACTCGGTCGTGCCCTAATGCACAGAGATGTCGTTCGCCATCAAAGCAAAAGTCAACCTCCTACCTTGTCGCAGAGCGCGATCGCCTTGTCGTACTCGCCAAGGTGCAAGTAGGCCGTGACGGCCCCCGAGATGGCGTACGTGTTCAAGTTGGCGCCTTGGGCGAGCACGTGGTTGTAGATTTCAATGCTGCGCTCGGGCGCGCCCTGCTTGGTGTACGCCATGAGCACCGCGCCAATGGCAAAGCCCGTGAGCTGCAAGTTTTGGCTCACGAGCTTGTGGTGAATGTGCACGACGAGTTCCCAGCGCTTGGCCCGCGCGCACGACTGGATCATCGAGAGGTACGACTGGCTGTAGAGCTCGACGCCGGTCGTTGTCGCCTCGTCCAAGATGGCGTAAAAGCCGTCCCACTGCTTGCAGTTGATGGCGCAGAGAAGGAACGCCGTGTACGTCGACGTACTTTTCGGGATCGTTTCGTCCGTCATCTGCTGCCAAATGTCGGTCGCCGTCTTGTAGTCTTCGTGCTTGCCGCACGAGTGCAGCACAATGTTGCAAGCAATACTGATCGAGTCGAACGTGAGCTTGTCGCAATCGTTGAAGAGGTCGTCAAAGAGGTTCAGTGTCTACGATACGAGATGAGCGATGGGCGCCAGGTCCTGTAGAGAGAGTACCATGTCGTGGTACTCGGCCTTGCACGCGGCCGAGAGCGCGCGCGAGTACGTGACGAAGCTCGGGCGGTAGCCATCGCGGCGCATGACGTCAAACACTTGGAGCGCCTCGTCGTAGCGCTGATGCGCGTAGCAGGACGCAATGACTTGCGAGTAGGCCGAGATGTGCGGCTTGGCGCCGTTGTTGCGCGCAAACTGGAGCACCTCGATGGCTTCGTGGTAGTAGTTGCGCACCGAGAGGAGCGCAATGAGCTGCGCCATGTGCTCGTGGTCCACACGGTTCTGCGCGCCCATCGAAGCGTTGATCTTCTCCGTGGCCCAGTCGGCCACACGCCGATTGTACTTATGGCGGCCGTTGCTCTGGTTGTACTCGGCGCCATCGAATGGAAAATCAAACACGCACGAGTTGAGCACCGGGTGGTCCGGGAACTCGTCCGCGATGCACGCCGACGACGACTTGAAGCGCGTCGTCCACGGCGCCGGCAGCGACGCGGCCGTCGGAAGGCGGCCGCCGAGGCCACCGACCGCGGTCCATCGCATCGTTCGCTTCGAGACGTAGCGCAGCATCGTACTTGGAGCCGACGACAAGCTATGAGGTCCACCGTTTGCAATTGAGGCTGGCGTATCCGGATTCGAATGCTGCCTCACCTTGTGATTTATTAAATTGTATTCCACATCGTTTTTTAACACCGCCAAGTCGCCCTCTGTACAGACAATTTAAAAAAAGAACAATCATTTTTATTCGAGTGGCCAGCCAGGAATCCGGATACGAAGCCCAAATCCGCGCGCCATGAACCTTGACGAACGCGATGGCCAAGGCGACGACGTCGACGAGGTCGATGTAGGGCCAAGCGTCGTCGGCCATCAGGTGAAAAGAGCGCCGCCGTGAGCGCAGTAGTTGCAAGGTTGCATGTTAAATGAGTGGCAAGTCGCTGCTGCCAAGCCATGCACCTCGTCGAGCTGCGAAATTCCAGAACTTAGTCTGCCAGATCCTACCGGCTACAAGTCGATCGAGGGATGGGCGCCGGCATGAGTACACGCTCCTGCACTGTGTTGTAGCTGCTTATCGGATATCTCGGGCGCGGAGCTCCTTGGACGTCCATCGAAGCGGAGCCTCGAGGGCGACAAATGTACTAGTAGCCGCGAGCTGCCAGGAAGCGCGATTACGCTATCCTCGCTTCGCCGTCATGGGAGATTGCTACATGGCGACTGGGTGTGCGCCATGGCTCGCCACAGTCGTCGCTTCCGACGTACACCTGCGGCCTTTTGGCTGGAGGTAATCGTGCCATCGAGTTGGCTACGTGTTTCGTTGCATCCTGTGCCTGTTCTGATGGGCTTGGCTTATTCCGGCGTGACCTCTTTGGCAACACTCGTTGGAGGCGGACGCGTCCCGGAAGTGACGGCGGAGGACACTGGTTTCCAGAGTCGATGTACTTTTAATAGGGTATAGTTATATGCTGATCACCCCTAAAGTCCTTGCTCGGGCTTGGTTTGGCTGATCATATAAAATAGAAACACGAGGAGGCAGATGAGGAAGAGGATCAAGAGCACGAGCCAATTGTTGCACTGGACCGAGTCGTGGCCGCCCGTCATCTCTTCACGGTACTTTTGTGCCCAGTTGGGCACGATCTTGAGGTCCGGCCGAAGCTCGTACAGCTCTTCCTTCTCCTTGGGCGAGAGCCGCCGGATGACGCCCGTCTTGGGCTTGTTCGCACGCTTTGGAGGCCGAGTCATTGTCGTCTGATCGTCCGTGATAGTAATCTTCACCTCGTGGTCCTCGACGAGCGCGTCTTCGACCGTCGACGTATCGCGCCACATGATGCGCTTTTTCTGCTTTGGTGGGATCATCGAGCCAGCGTGGTCGTGACCGTAGGCCGAGATCTTACGCAGCGCCGATGGCGTCGACGGACGGCTCTTGAAGACGTCACCACCGTTGGACACGGGGCTCAGCTGCATGCCATCGCCGTCCGTGTTGTCGCTCTCGCCGACCATTTGGGCGTCCGCGGACGCTTGCTTCTCGTCGAGGAGCGAGTACCGATTCCGGGCGCCCACGATACGTTTGACAGCCGTCAAGAGCGTCGACGACACGTCAGTCGCCACTGAGCTGCTCGGCGGATGTGCAGCGACCTCTTGCGCCATTTCGCGGAGCTCCAGCTCGAGCGACCGGGCACGGCGCACCGCGACCTCAATCGAGTGGCGCGAGACCTCCGGCGAGAAGAGCGTCGGATCTACATAGTCTTGGTCGTCGTCGATTGTCATTGTCTTCTCGTCGTCGTCGTTCAAGTCGATGGCCTTGAGCGCCGGCTTCTTCATGAGCTGGCTGTACTCAAGGATCGGGATCGCAATACCCTGCGGCAGCTCCGACTCGGAGGTGCGCGCGCCCGGCGGGATGCTGGCTTGGCCTTGCGGCGACTCGTGCGGCTCGCTCGTCGTCGACTCGCTCGGCTCCTGGTGCGTTCCCATCGGATGCGTGTAGCAGCAGGGGCGTCGTCGACACTGGCCAAAATCGGAAATCGCGCAGGCTGTTGGGTGGCAATTTATTCCACAAAATTTAATTCGGCAGTTTTAAAGCGCATACGGCAGCTCGCATAAAAACACGGTTTTTATTCGCACCGCCGCAATTTCGATTTAATGGTTTGCTGCTTGCAGCTCGAGCGCGATCGACCAATCACAGCGCGCGGAGCTGGATACCTTCGGCAACGACGATCGACTGTCGCGTACCATCAAGCACCGCAGCGACAAAATGCTGAGCGGCCATCATCAGCTTACGCTTCATCTCAAGGCGACGCCAGGGCCGCGACGCTCCGACCAGTTCGTTCTTGGCGTGATCAGATAGAAACAGCTAGGTTCAAGTGCCACGGTGGCGCCACGAGATTCCGAAAGCGAGAAAGGCCGGCGAGATCCGTGCACAGAAGACAAACGAAACTGCAAAATGCAGTTTGTTCCTGTGCGCACTTGGATCGGCTTGCTTGTGTGAAGGGGAGATTGACGCATCCAGGAACACGCGGCAACAATGGCTTGGTCAGCTCTGTTACACCAAGTGCAACAAATACTTCACCGGAATGAACCTCACCGCGACACACATTGTGCAGCGGAGGCGTATCGTTCAGGACCGAGCTCGTCGCTAGCACTCTACAGCGAGCCGACAAGACCACGTTCATGTAACAAGAGGTCCCGAAATACGATGCAAGGCAGGAGCCTGCGTACGACCTCGCGAGCTAAGACTCGGCGAGATGGAACTCTCAGAGCGCAGCTCACTCCCAACGACCAAGTGCTGGTGCCAACTCCCACACAAAGGCGTAGCGCTACGTATGCGAAGTCTTCGGTTTGGTTTTCGCTAATTTAGTTTTTAACGCGAACACGTTTGATTGATTGAGTAACTACTTCGCCGGTGTTGGCGTCGAAGGTCGTCATCACCAACTTTCACCAAGGACATAATCGAGCCTTTCAATCGCGATCGTTTTCGGCTTTGCTCGCTTCAATCACAGGACGCAGAGGGTTATCTCGCATCATACACGAGAGAAGGCCAATAGTGTGGTCGGGGCAATGTGGCAGCCATCAAGACGCATGGAGAAGGCACCGGAAAACCGCGCCAAAAGATCGGAAAATGTCAAAGGGAGGGTCCGCGATGGACCTGAATTTGTCGCTGTCGAAGGATACGTCGCTTCGTACGTATGCCGGTGGGCTCTCGTATCTTGTTGTTTGTATAGCATTTTGAACGGCCACATATAAAATGACGTATTGTGAACGTACAATGTACGTACGTCGATTGTACGTCGAATGTACGAAGGCGATGAGTGGTGGAGCTGGTGTAAGTCAGTCCGAACAAATTATCCCCCTTGGAAGATGGTCGCCGCTAAAGCCGCCCGCTGGCACAAGATTGGTTACGGTAACTTCATCGTCCACGAGTTGAAGCGCCCGTACTTCCGCCCGTTCGTCTACGGTGGCCTCGCGTCGCTCTTCATCTGCGGCTACCTCCCCACCAAGGGCGCGACCGACGAAGACAAGGCCAAGTCCGACTACTGGAAGCGCGTGAACGGCAAGTTCGACTACCTCGCCGAGCACCACTAAGCGCTAGACCAGCCACGATATACTGCTGACGAGGCGCATAAGATCTCATGTTGCTGCTTGTATTCTTCGTACGATTATGACTTTTTGAACCCGTCTTAGACGACAATCTGCAGTGTGCGGGCGCGGGACGGGCCGTTGTACACGGGCGCCGCCACGTTGAGGTGGCCTGGCACGGGCGGCAGCGGTGCTACGACCACAACCGGCGTCGCCCACCGAAACATGCGCCCGCCCGCGAGGTGAAACTCGAACGAAATGGCGTACTTGAAGCTCACGAGGTCCGTTTCGATCGACGGCTGGGCGTGGAATGGCACGCCAAAGCGCATCTACACGCAGCCGTGAGCATGCTATCCACAGTCTCAACGCATGAGCAGACGTTGGTTTGGAGAAGGTCGGCCGTGACTTCGATGACCGTCTCGAGCGTCGTCGTCGCCACCTTCTTGCCAGGCTCGAGCGAGTGCTCGCAGAGATGCTCTTCGAGCACGAGCGCGCCCTTGACCGAGTCGCATGCCATGGTGGCGGTCGCAAAGTCAAACGACACGAGCAGCGTATCTCCAGGAAAGAAGGCCTGCTTGTGCAGAATGACGCGGACCAAGTGGTTCTGGTGCTGCCCGATCGTAAATTGGCTCTGTTGCACGCCGAAGCCGCGCTCTAGCACCGTTGAAGTCGCCGCATTATCTGTGACGACAAGAAGGACGTACCCACTTCGACGCGGCCGTGCATGAGGCGCGGTTTCATCTCGAACGGAATCTCGTGGCCATGGCGTACGGCAACGGGCACGATCTTTTTCTCGTGCTCGTCCGCCGTCGGTGAGAGCAGCGCAGCTGGCACGGGCGATCGGCACGGACTTTGGAGGCGGAACGCGTACGACGGCGCGTAGATCTCGACCGGCACGTGTAGCGACTGGGCGAGTGCTGTGCCCTTGATCTTGAAAATGAACGTAAGAATGTAGAAGGCGCGGGCCGACGTGCCTATTGGTAGATGTCAGTTCGCTCGATCGAGGATCAAATGCGCAGGACCTTTGAACGTCGGGCACATGTCGTTGGGCAGCCCGACCGCAAAGTGCGTACGCAGGGACTCGTGGACGTCGGTATCAGAGAAGAGAATGCTGGGCTTGCTCTGGTAGATGCACGTGCCCGTTTGACCCGAGAAACTGCGCACGTCGGGCAGCTCGAGCGATGTGGCCAGGTCGTCGTCCAACTTGGCGAGGGTCACGATGGGCACGGTGAGCAGATCCGCATCAACCGAGATGTGGCCGTGGAGCTGGACAGCGCCGGCCTCGACGTAGAGGTCCTTGGGCGTGCGGATCTCGAGGCAACCACGTACCGCGCTTCCCGGGTGGAAGTACGCGCACGCGAGTGACGCGGTGATCTTCACTTCGTCCTGCATGCCGATTGCTACTAGCCTTGATTGGTCAAAAGTCGATGGATTCAGCGACATTATAGCCAATCAACGATGGTATCGAGGTTGAACCCGCGAAGATTTTAGCACCCGCGCGTCCCGAGTGCCACGCACGACGCATCGTGGCCCCAGCATTGATTGACCATGGGCCCTGATCGAAACATCATTTGCTTCACAGTAGAAATAGGATACTTACTAGCTAATTGCCCCTTCCCTGCCTACCTGGCTGCGGTTGAGGCTTCATGGCGTCAAGCCCTCTCATGTGCAAGCTCGGCGCGGAGGCTTGCATGGGCAATTGTAGGCAGATGGAAGTGAATCCGGCGGCTTCAGTCTACGACTCAGCGAGGTTCAAGGACTGCGTACGGAGGCGGCCATGGCAGTGCGAAGAGTCCACACATCGCAGCATGAAGCGGTCCGTGCGAGAGAGGAAGGAAGACGACACGAAATACGAGATTGCCCATCATTAACACATTCTCATTGGAATATAACCGTGCAGATCAAAACAAGGCCGGTGGTTGTGGTCGTTCTTCGACTGCAAAAGTAGCGAAAAGGTGCACGCGCGTTGGCCTGTTCTTGCTCCGTTTTGAGGGGGGCAATTTATCTCAAGCGGCGAGCTTCGCGTTCCCATTCCATCAAGGAGAGGATGTCGCCTTCGCGGACCGGGCCCTTGACGTTACGGATCAAGGTACGGGCTTCCTTCGTGCCGAAGTCATCGATGAACTCGACGCGGACCTGGGTGACGTTGCCGGTGTTACCGGTGCGGCCCAAAACGCGGATGACCTTGGCGTGCTTGACGGGTTGATCCTATTCGCGCATTCTTAGTGCCCTCTCTTGCCACTCGCGGGATTCGGTCGCCGCGCCTAACGTACCATATTTAATGTTGAGTGGGCAGGCGAGAACTCGAATGAAATGAACGGAAATTCCAATACGTAATTTCCCTCCAGTCATATTGCTGCCAGCGTGCCAGCCAGTCACAATCGAGCTTGCTTGTAATTGGCCAAAATGATGCACTCTTGCAGCCTCTATTGCTGCCGCGATTCACCGTATATATTGATATCTTGCAAGACCGCATGTGCAATATGACACAAAAACCACTGCAAGACTGGATTGTATTGAATTTGGCGAGGCAAAAACCCCACCAGTCATTTGCCTCTCGATGATTCGTTGAAACTCCCCGGATTTGAGCGCGATCCGCGTCGTCGATTGGCTAAAAGCTTGCATCGGCGCCGTCCGCCGGACGCATATTCGTGGTTTTGATACGTCAAGATGGTCTGGAACCGCCTCCGCTTCCCCAACATGGCCGTGACGTACGTCGCGAAGACGGCCAAGACGCGTCTCCCGGAGAACCAGCACATCTTCCGCGTTGAGCCGAACTACACCAAGCACGACGTGAAGGAGTACCTCCAGAAGGTCTACCGCCTCCCCGTGACGAACGTGCGCACGATGAACTACGAAGGCAAGTTCAAGCGCGCGATGCAGGGCCGCCACGTGTACAAGGAGAAGGACTGGAAGAAGGCGATCGTGACCTTGGCCAAGTAATCGAGTATGTCGCTCACGATAGCAGGCCGCGGACGATAGACCGGTTTGTAATTTAAACAACAGAACGCTAGGTGGAACCCGTGGCTTGGGCGAATTAACCCGTCCTGTTCTTGCGCTCTCAGCCATCTTTGCATTCAGGCCAAGGCACGCGCCACGCTACCGCTGCGCTGCACACTGCCAAGAGGTTTTGGATCGGCTATCATCGTGGAGCTTGAAGCGTCGCCAGTCGCGCCGCCTCCACGCCTCATTCAACAGACCTTTGCTACCGTCATACCATACTGGCGATGCAGCGATGACACGCTGTAGGTGTCACGACGTCGGATCGTAGGGCCAAAGCAAGCAACGAGCAGCTTGATGGTCGAGCGGGCAATAAGCGGTGGCACAATCAAGCCAAAGCGCACTTAAAGCAGACAGCAAGGCTAGATCAGGTCAAAATCGTACTTAGTCGGCAAAATGGGCGCACTTGAGAGAAACTTGGGATTTCTGTCCAATCAATTCCCTCGAAATCGCGGCCAACTAATCCAATTGCCGAAATTCCACCCGCCATCATGAGCACGCCGAATTCTGTCGTCTCGGACCCGCGCTTCAGCAAAGTGCACAACGATCCGGTACAACTTCGTTCCTTGCGCGTCTACTAACTAACTAACTACCATCGTGCTCGCAGCGCTTTGCCCGCAACTCGAAGAAGCGCAACAAGGTCCAGCTCGACAAGCGCTTCCAGGCTGTCTTGACCGACAAGAAGTTTCAGAGCGTCCAAGGTACACGGCCTGTGACGCGCTTCAGATCTTATATGGCGTCTAGGCAAGTACGACAAGTATGGTCGCCGCATTGAGGAGCAAGAGAACGAGATGAAAAAGTACTACAACCTCGAAGACGAGGACGAGGACAAGGCGGACGACGATGACAACGACGACGATGACAACGACGGCAAGACCGACAAGCCCATGACGGCGGCCGAGAAGCGCATTGCGTACCTGAACAAGATGGCGCGCGGCGAGCTCAGCGACGAAGCCGCCGGGTCGAGCGACTCGAGCGACAGCGACGACGAGGACGCCGAGGTCGACGACGAAGCGACGCATGAGCCTGCTGAGGATATTCCCATGGGCGATGAGACCAAGCGGTTTGCGATCATGAACTGCGATTGGTCTCGCATGCGTGCGGTGGACCTCTACGCGCTCTTCGAGTCGTTCGTGCCTGCGGGCGGCGTCGTGCACGACGTGACGATCTACCCGTCCGAGTTTGGCTTGCGACAGATGGTACAGCCTAGTCTGCGCATTCAAGCTCATCGATTTGTAGGCCGAGGATGAAAAGTACGGTCCCCGCGGTCTCTGGGACGATGAGAAGAAGACGGAAGATGGCGATGACGACAGCGAAGACGACAGCGAAGTCGACGAGGATGATCCACTCGGCATGAAACAGTCGGCGTCGAATGAAGAAGAGTACGTCTTCTCCGTCGCCACTTCTGAAACTCAAATGGCGACAATGTCTAGATTTGACAAGGAAAAGCTCCGCAACTTTGAGCTTCAGAAACTCAAGTACTATTACGGTGTCGCGAGTTTCAACACGGTCGCCGCGGCGAGCGCTGTCTTCGACGCGTGCGACGGCCTCGAGTACGAGACGTCGGCCAACACGCTCGACTTGCGCTTCGTGCCGGACGATGTCACCTTTGCACATGCACCGAAAGAGAAGGCGACGTCCGTACCCGACTCGTATACGCCGGCGATCTTTGCGACGCTCGCGCTGCAAAACACGGAGCTCGAGCTGACGTGGGAAGCCGACGACGGCGAGCGCAACGAGCGCCTCACGCGCATTGCCAACTGGAAGGACATGCACGACGACGATTTCGCCCAGTATGTGGCGTCCGAAGGGTCGTCGTCCGAAGATGACGACGACGACAAGGCGTCGAGCGCGGCCAAGGTCGAGAAGCTCAAGCAAAAGTACCGCGCGGCGCTGCTCGGCGACATGGCCAACGACGCCAACGACGGCGACGACTCTGGCTTCAACGACGACTTTTTCGGGAAAGATGAAGCTGGGGACGGCGGTATGGAGATGACGTTCACGCCGGGCGCTGCGATCCTCGAAGCGAAGAAGCAAAAGGAGCTCGAAGCGAACGAGACGCCGTTTGAAAAGTACCAGCGGGAGAAGAAGCTCGAGAAGAACGAGAAGAAGCGCAACAAGAAGCAGGAAGCCAAGGCCGCGCACGCGGCGCAGCTTGAAGCACTCAAGCAGGCCAAGAAGGGCAAGCACGCGGCGGCCAAGAAGGCCGACGACGTCGTTGGCAGCGACGACGATGAGCGGGACTTTGACATGAAGGTCATTACCAAGGTCGACAAGCACAAGGAAAAGAAGGGCAAGCGCCACAAGAAAGAGCTGGCCAAGCTCGAGAAGGCCGCGGGCCGCCAAGCGGACTTCACGTTCAACGCTGCCGATGATCGTTTCGGCCAGCTGGTCAACAACAACCCGGATTTTAGCTTGGACCCGACCGACGCGCGCTTCAAGCGCACGGAAGCCACCGAAGCGATCTTTGAGGCGCGCCGCAAGAAGCAGTCGCAGCCGACGACGGCCACGCCGACGTCGACGACCGAGGCGAGCAGCGGTGGCAAGGGCGAACTCAAGTCGCTCGTGGACTCGCTCAAGCGCAAGGCCCAAGCACCGCCCAAACATGCCAAGAAGCAGCGCTTTTAAATGACCGTTCGTACTAACTCCTAGAAACCTATACTACTACTCCTACTACGTTTATGCAGTCGCTTCCGCTGCTGTCGCTTTATGCACTGACTTTGTGGAGGACATTGCCCTTCCATGCAAGGGAAACTGGCTCGTTGCATAATATGCGCCGGTGATCGTCGGGCAAATGCAGACAAATAAGATCTGCTCCTGCAGCGGGCACGAGTAGAGAGATACATACCTATACACTCTGCTCAACACCATGCAAGGTACTATACACAGCCACACAGCAAGTGCGTTCACAACGCTTGATCGAGCAGCGTTGCGTCAACGAAGGCGCGCGATCAACGTTTGCAGCCAGGTGGACGTGCCATTGGCATGACATGACACGCTATTTCAACGACCTTTTTATAGTGTGCTAAGCTGAGCAATCGCGTTCGGGTGTCTAGACCACGCTGTCGGCGCAGCCTCCATATCGAAGACATTGCAGTCACACATTACAATGGATTGCCGATGGGCGCGCGCGCTCACGATCCATTTGGTTGCCGCGATCGCTGGCTGCATGGTGACTACATGCACACTATATATGGCACATGTCGGGTCGACAACGCACAGTATATCCGTGTGGACCGGCCCGTCTGTGATTATCCGGATCCGGATTCCAAAGATTGCATGTTTTTGTTGCGGTTGGCGTGTTTTTCTTGGCAGGGGTGGGGTTGTCGGTGCGTGTGTGCGCCATTTGACTTGAAGTAAGTATGGTATACAAAGGGTGGCGGGCGTTAGCTGGCCGTCCGAAGCTGCTAGTGAAGAAATTTCCCCCAAGTCGACCATCATGCTCCGCGTCGCCGCCCTCCGCACCCTCGGTAGATGCGTCCGCCATGGCTACATGCTAGGCTCATGATGATGCTGATGTAGCTGCCGCCCGCCCGTCGGTCGCCCGCCCGCTGGCCGCGTCGTTCAGCTCGGCCCCGAAGGCCGGCGAGACCGATGTGGTCATCCCGGACCTCCACGAGACGTTGGAGTGGACCTTGTCGTCGCCGCCGCCGCTCCATCAGTTTGAGGAGTCGCCGATCATCGTCGAGACGTGGGGCCCCACGGACCCCCACCACCACTAAATATGCGACGCTCCGTGCGAACGTGACTGTTAGAAGGGTCGGTGAGGTGTTGCCTGCCACGACATAATATACTCTTGATGCTAAACCATCTTCTCTCGGTGGACGCGCATGCTGGCAACGGCGTCGAGGATGCGGGACACAAGGTGTATTTAGGCTTAGTAATCGTCGTCGGCCAGCGCCTTTTGCATGATCTCGACGTCGCGCATGTCCTGCGAGAGCACCTTGGTGACGTGCTCGAGGCCTTGTCGCTGCCGGTCCATGATCTACATGCGCATGAGCACCTACTCTCAGAGGGCATGGGCATCGTACGCCAAACACGAGGTGCAGGTCTTGGTCCGAGAGCTGGCATTGCTCCTGGTCCGGGTGGGGCTTGGCCGCCTGCATCGCCTGGAGGGCCATGAGCTCGTTCATGCGGGCCTTGAACTGCGTCGGGTTGTCGAGCATGCTCGCCACCTTCTTGAGCGTCTCGCTACCCAATGCGTGAGCTCGATTGTGACGATGTGTATTGCGAAAGTACAAGAGTTTGACTTCGTCCGCATGCAACGGCTTGCGCAGGTTCTTGAAGACTTCGAGCTTGCGCATGAGCTAGACGCATGCAATGAGCATGGTGCTACAAGATGGGAATAGGTACCTGGATGAGGCGGTGGAAGAGCGCAGCGTGCTGGTGGCGGCACTGCGCGAGCTTGACGTCGGTGTCGCGCGACGTCTTTTCCATTTCCTTGACCTGCGTCACCATGTCTTCGGCGTACGTCGCAAACTTGTCGGCGTGCTCCTGCTGCAGCTTGATGCGTGTCGACAGCTCCTTGAAGCCAATGACAGCCGCGGGCACGCAGTTGGCCGGGTCCGGGTTGTCGCGCTGCGCTTGTGTCCACAGCTTCTCGCTAATGTGCGCCGGTCGCACGTACAAATGCTTTTGCGCAGGGTCGACGGCGTTGTAGAGCATGTGCTTGAAGCGCGACTGCTGCGGGTCCATGTACGCCATGCGGATGCCCGTGAGGCTCTCCATTGGCGAATTGGCCGCCGCCGACGTGGCGGCCGCGAGCGCGTTCGTGGCGCCGGGAAATGCGTTGGTCGACGACGCCGCGTTGAGCTGAAAGAGACCGAACGCCGGCGCGGTCGGCGCGGCGGCACCAAACCCGCCAAAGCCCGATGGCTTGGCCGCCGCATTGCCAAACGAAAAGTTGGACGTCGGGGCGCTACCAAAGCCGCTGCCAAAGCCACCCGTTGACGGCGCGGTCGCGCTGTTGCTGCCAAAGCTAAACGCCGACGTGGAGGGCGTCGACGGCGTGGCTGCTGCGCCGCCAAATGAGAAAGCGCCCGCGCTGGCCGGAGCGGCGGCGGCGCCAAAAGAAAAGCCAGAGCTTGGTGTCGTGGACGCGGTCGTTGCCGTCGACGAGGTGCTGCCAAAGCCAAAGCCACCGGTCGAGCCCGCTGCAGGCGTCGAGGCGGCGGCGCCAAAGCCACCAAAGGAAGACGTCGGCTGTGTCGTCGCTGCGCCACCAAAGGAGAACCCCGTGGACGCAGGTTGCGCCGCCGGGGCGCCAAAGCCGCCCGTGGCTGGCGTGCTGCTGCTGCCAAAGGCAGACGTCGAGGACCCCGCGGCCGGCGCGCCAAAGGAGAAGCCAGACGCGGCCGGCTGGGCCGCGGGCTGAGCACCGAACGAGCCAAACATCGTGCTTGCTGTGGGAACGGCGCGGTGTACTCGAGCTTGCGGGGTGGCCGCAATAAAATACAATTCACGTCATTGCATACTTGTATGAAGAAACATATAAATATCGTTTTATAATACGCCCCTCCGGCTGGTTGGTCCATTTTTCAAGGAGGAGCTGCGCCACCCATGCGCCAGTCGAGCGCAGCGCGATGGCTGCAACATGGCCTCAGCTTGCACGGTGCTAACCGTAGAGAGCGCATGTGCCATGCGCTTCATCAAGCGAGGATGCTGGTCGTGCCACGAGAACGGCCTCTAAAGCCATGCCACGGTGGCGGCAAGCGGCAAGAACGACGTTGTTGGCGGGCGGAACGTGTTTAAATTAACTAGGTGGGGCGACTTCTTCGATGACGCGGTGGGCGAGCACGTATTTGTGCATGTCTTGTTCCAGGACGACGTGCAGGATAGGGAACTCGACGACCGCAAGGCCGCGGAGGTTCTCGGCCATGCTCTTGGCAGGGTCGATCGTAAAGTACTGTGGCGCCGACGCAGCGACAAACTCCTTTCGGAGCAAGAAGCACCATGCAGCACGACCTGCCTTCATGTACGGCTTGAGCGTTGTGCGCAGAGCGGCCGTGTCCTAGTTGAACGATGCATGAGGCCCGGGCGATCACATTATTGGCATACCACGCGGATCGCCAAGAGATCGTCGAGGAGGTCGTTGAGAGACTTGGATTCATCCCATCGCGCCTGGACGATCTTGGATACTGGCGAGAGGTTGATGAAATGGAGCTCAAGGCGCCAATGCAGGACGTGGCCCTTGACACACGACGTGTTGGCCTTGCGCTTGGACATGCCGGGCGCGAGGAGGCTCACGTCGACGCCCTTGTCGATCGCGGCCTTGGCAAAGTTCTGCCACGCTGCTGGGAAGCGCCCGAGCCAATCCGCGGGCAGCTCGGGGTTGGCCTTGGCCTTCTTCGTGAGCTTCTTGTAGTTGCCTTTCGGCGCCGTTTGCTGCGCTAACGCATTGATCGTGGACGCCGACCGCGCGATTTCTTGCAAGAAGAAGTAATCTACACATACGCTTGAAATGCTATCATGCAGAGCTCGTACGGCGTACCACTCGTGATATCAGCGTCCTTGAACGCGGCCATCGGGATGTACTTGGTGCGATCGCGCTTCCCGTCGCAGTCGTACTACACAGAAGCTTGCATGAGTTGCATGCCATGGCTACGGCCAGGCGCGTACGTGCGTCTTGTGCTCGAGGCAGCACTTGAGCGAGCACGTAATGCGCTCGCACTTGGGGCACCGGTACTTGATCTCGAGCGCCGAGCACATGGCGCAGTCGACCTCTTCCCGCTTGCGCTTCTCGCCGCCTACGTCGCTGGCCGGCGCAGCTGCATCGTCGGCCGTCACCGGCGCGGGCGCTGCCATCGAGAGGCTGATGCCCTCGGTGATCGGGAGCGACGACATCGATTGCAAGGTGCCACCAAAGATTCAGGCTGCGGCGCTGATTGGCCCGGAGCTACCATCCAATCGTGTAACGGACCGGATGCGCTCCCGGGTTTGCTTTTTCCTAAGCGACTATTGAAATAGTGTGAAGATACGTTTTGAGTTGCTGTGATGAACTGCAAACCTGAGCAGCAGAGCAGAAGCTGCCAGACTTCCCGCGTTGTCCTTCCCGGTACGGCCGTGCGTGGTCTTCTTGGTGCTATTACAGTTCCCTCTCGACATGACGGTATGCTTCTACGCTCGACAGCAGGCGCCATGCGATTCAAGCTCTAGCTTTAGCTGCAGAGGGAGCACACCGGTCTAGTAGGGAGCGAGGATCGACTGCGAATATTTGCCAACCCACCTTGCGCTGTCGCGTCAATCAAATGATTGCAGTAGCCCAAGACGGATACAATTACAACCAATGGGCGCGTGGCACGCTTATAGCGAGGCCTGCGATTGGTGTACGAACCAGATTCACGACCTGGTCGGCTGGTCCAATGCCACTGCGCGTGCGTTCATGCAGGCTTCTTCGCGCGGGGCACGGCTGGATCGGTGCAGTTCCGCTTGGAGCAGCTCACAATCGAATTTTGACTCTTCACAACAGCCATGGCCAACACGACCAACGTCCGCGGTATCAC